GGGGGGGGTGGGATGGGGTCGTGGCATATGTATATTTCATTGGATGGGATGCGACATTGCCAGTTAAGTTGATGACACAACTCTCGAGGGCAAAGCTCAGGAAGGGCAAAAAGAGGAAAGAAGGAGAGAGAGAGGGCGGGAAAAAAAAGAGCAAAGTGCGAGGGATGAATGAAAAGCGGAAAAAAAAAATACAAGTAGAAAGGTCAGTGAAGAACAAATATCCATGGCGAGAGAACAAGAGGGCGGGGTGTGACCAGTTGTTACTGTGAAGTGGATCAGAAGGGATTTACACAGCAAATGAAGGGCGAAAGAGGAGCCGGACATCGGAGGAAAAGCAACATCGGAGACGGGAGATCTCCGAGTTGAATGCAAGGTCAAGACACGAGGAAGTGAAGAGCTTTCCAGACAAGTCTGCAAGGCTTGGGAAGAAGAAACGCAAGGTCCGAGAAAAGGGCCAACTCTGACACCGGGGGTCTTATTAGAGGCTCGGTCCACTTGTAAAATCCACGTGCGTGTCAAGGATCAGGAGATCGCCAAATTGAAGGCAGGATCAGACATGAAGAAGTCTCTCAAGGTGAAGGGAAATCGGGTTGCACGCATGTCAAAACCGCATTTCCATCATCCGATCACCAAAGAGTCGTGAGGCTGGTCCAAGACAAACAACCGGGCCGATGAGATCTCCGAGTTGCCGCTGAGGTCCGACACCAGAAGCAGTGCCAAGAACTGTTCCATCGGCAGCATCAAAACAAGTCTTGTGAAAATGGCTCCGGGCTAGAACGCAAATGTTGAATGGAGGCAACCGCATTCTTCTGTCTTCAAAGGAAGCCTTGTGGATTGAAAGGGAAAAACCCGTTTCCTCCGTTCACTTAATGCCGATGACCGTGACCTAAGCGACTCCCAATCTACACACAAGCGCGAGACCAACTTAACCGACTTCCAATCTGATGACACAACGGAGAACCGGCCGTGGCTCGGTCAGCGACTCGCGACTGCTGCCGACAAGGTCGCGCACTTTGAAGAGCGGGAACGGCAACAAGAGAAATGCGCTTCGAGAGGAAGATGGATATGGAGAAGGGGAAGCCACGCCGGGCCGGCTTCTGATGGAACGCCAGCGAGCAGAGTGTCGGCCGAGTGGAATCGATGACGAGAGCCGACGACGTCCTGATCCTCCGGAGCCACTCGACGGCATTAAAGGCTGAAGCGCGGCAAAGTCCCTCGGGAGAGAAAGTCACATTCCAACGGGATTGGGGGTTGGGGTGGGGGGGCTCGCCACTCCATCATTTAGACCAGGGGTGGCCAAAGCTTTTTGACCAGAGTGCAAGCATTTACACACGCACGCACGCCATGATGAGCAACAGCCGGAAGGACCCCTAAAATGAACGAAACCGAAACACACAGACACACAAATCTATTCTCCCACCCCCCCCATTTCCTCCTCCCACCCCTCGTGGTCGACTTGGGACCCGTCCGCTGGCTCCTGGTCGATCGCGATCGTCTTATTGGGCAGCCCTGATTTCGACGCGACAGACAAAATGTCTGCC